AGCTAAAATACGGCATTTACGTTTTAAATGTTCATCAATGTGCACTGTCCCTCTTCAAATAAACGATAAAATAAAATAAAAATAGACGTATTTCTTTGTATTTTTGCATATTAGAAACGGAGTTGGCGACACTAAAACTGCAATATAATGTTTGTGTAGCAATAATACATATGACATTTTTTACATGTCTCCAGTACCGATAAAAAGACCGATAACGTCGGAGTTTAACGGTACCACGGTCTTTAATAATGCCGCCCCGGGGGCCGGTACCCATCCCTACTAAAGACTCTTCAAGCATTTATCTTCACAGCTATTTGTTATTATAGTTGTAATTGCAAAATATAACATTTATGAAATCCATTAAGCAATCAACATATTTTACAAATATTACTTAGTTTTAATCTGGATGATTTAATGCTTAGCTTGCTCTATGTCTCGTCAGCGATAACGAATGAATATATTATGGGATTGTTTCATTTCAAATACTAAAATATTTTTCAGCTTATACAACTCTTTAGATGAAAGAGCCACTATGTTGACAATCAAGTGTTTTATTCAATGTTGAACAAACTCCTAACCTGGAAAGCATAGCGATTACATTTCACTTTTCAAACTCTCAAAACTTTTCTTTAATATGATGGCAATTTCACGCAGAAGTGCCCGAGTCACTCGAAGATTAACTGAAACGATCTCAGACTTTCTGATCAATTTGGAGGACGCAGTTTGGGTCCATTAAAGGGGCCCATTATGATCATTTCAGGTGTGGGAGAGAAACTCTTTGGGACTTTTAACTTTTGCACAAAAACCTAAATAACAAACAACAGGAAAGGGAAAACAACAAAAAGCAGAATAGGGCCCCTTACATAATATTAAAAAGGTTCTGAATAATTCTGAATGGTTTATTTCTGCTGTTTTACGCTTCTAGCCAAGAAAATAAAAGTGGTGTTTCTTTTACTTTAGAATTTATAGTTACCTTTTAATAATTTGTGTAAATTCTACACCATTACGAAAAGGTTTATAACAATTTGAAATTCCAGCATTGTGACAACACAGGGTAGACGCAGGAATCCTGAAGTCAAATGTAAAACCTGTTAAGACCTTTTTTGAGACCCTTTCCATACATTTGAAGACCTCATCGCCACTGAGTTCTAACCGGTTACCTTGGCGACACACTTTACCTCACATTGACTACATACACACTCTGCAGCTTTGGGGACAGAGCCTTTTCAGTGGCAGCTCCTCCGCTCTGGAATTCCCTCCCCCAAGATCTCCGTGACTCTGAGTCCCTCACAGTCTTTCAGTCCCGCCTCAAAACACATCTTTTCAACTCTGCCTACCCATAAGCCCCCTCCTCTCAATCAATTTCCTCTTGACTGCCTTTTTATTTATTTTACTATACTTACTTGTTTGCCTGTCCTTGTTTGTCTACCCTCCCTCATATTGTAAAGCGTCTTTGAGTTGTGAAAAGCGCTATATAAATAAAATGCATTATTATTATTATTATATACAGTATTGATTGTCCTTCTTCCTTATCTTCCAACCATTTGGAGGCTAACATGCATTTCCCCATAACGATGTTGTTTAACAACCGGCGTAAACGGACCTTCACGCTCTATCAAGCAGTGAGCGTGCGATGTCCTGTTCACACGACGTCAAATCCAACGGGATGCCATAAATAAACTCCACAGAATCACACTACACACCTACGCAATGATTACATTCAGGCAGACTGTAGAATACAACCTCTTTTGACAATTTATATACTTATTGAAAACAAGCTACAAAATGTAATACCTTGGAAAATGCCGTTTAATACTTTTTAATAGCCTTCATTTTCGCTAAATTGATTTACCAACTTTTAATACTTTTTAAGACCCCGCGGACACCCTGCATAAAAAGCCAAGAAAATAAAAGTGGTGTTTCTTTTACTTTAGAATTCATAGTTACCTTTTAATAATTTGTATAAATTCTACACCATTTCGAAAAGGTTTATAACAATTTGAAATTCCAGCATTGTGACAACTACTACTGAGTAAATTAGACAAAGGTTGTTGAGTGATTCAAAGACTTCTAAACAAACTGTAGCTAGGTTTCTGTTTGTAAAATCGGCGTACCTGAAAGTGTGGGTTGGCCACACATTTAGAGATCTGTTTGAATAACGGCTCCTGGATTTTCTTGAATTGCGTCGGCTCAATGACATCCAGAATCTCCTCGATCTCACCCAGGAACATCACCTATTAAGAAACGAGACGCGGGACATTAGGCTACATAAAGATCGGGTTGAAAACTGTGATAAGTGTGAGTCAATGCGTGCACAATACCTCTTTCTGGCTGCAGGTCTTAGGCCAAAACTTCAGCAGCCCGCGGATCACCTGAAAGGAGACAGCAGGACATTTTGTGAGAACTTCTCCCCGATTTAAAAATAAAACAACCTCGCACAGTCTGTTTGAGTGGGCTGTTGCTGGCACCCATTACACATCTCTCTGCAGCGTAGACACATTTAGTGCTCGGGGCTTTGTGCTTTGAGTGGGAGGAATGCTAAAAACAAGTACCGGTTCAGTGAGTGTAGGATCTTTCTCCAGGAACTGGACCACACAGTAGGCCAGCTGAGGGACACACGAGAAAAAGAGTAAAAGTACACACTGTTCACAAAACTGGCATCAGAGAAACACTGTACAGACCATCCTCTGGAAATGACATTGAGAGTGAAAGCCGATGATGCGTGTCATTATTATTTTACATTCCCATAGTGCTGACTTTTAGGAAATTAAAAATACAGTTAATCACAGTATGGATAATTGAACCAGTGCATTTTCACTTCCAAGCCACCAGGAGATGCTCTCGTACAAATATTCGTCATGACGGTGCTTCATTTCGGTCAGAGACAACCCGTAACACTAGCTGTACAAAATACATGTAATCAGCTTATGTGCAGCTAAAACGAATGAGAGTTATATAAAAAAGGATATCATGATTATTAAAAGAGAGTTTCTCCTACCTGCGCATGGAACAGGGCCAGAGCTTTAGCCGTGTGTAACGGGATGAGCACCTTCATCAGGAACTGCTTGTGCTCGGCCTTCAGAGGCAACGCAAACCCGTTGATGATACTACAAACAGGAAGACAGCGTTAGATTACTGAGCATGAAGACAAACACAACCTAGACTCCCTGCTGTGACAGAATGAAGACCACAGTTCGGTCATTACAGTTTTTCAAATCCACATTTTCTTCAAGTTTTTTTTCTAACATGGCAGCGTTACCAAATGTATAAACTGTTAGAGTACTCAAGTTTATCTTCTTCAAATACATCCAATAATTCACAACCGAATGTCTTTACTATGTGTTGCTTTGTGCAGTGTTATTCTGATTTCATCCAGATATTTATGTTCTCTCATTTATGCCTTTATTCCTTTTCTTTGTAAATCACTTTGGTTTCTGTTTTCATTCATCTCAATGTGCTTTTGAAATAACCTTGACTCGACTAGTGAAGGTGCAATGAAGTAGATATTCGTGGGTATTAATGAAGGGACATTATTACAAACCTTCCCAGGATTTCTAGCAGCTCAGCAACTCCGTTGAAGTGCTCAGTTTCATAGATGAATCTGCACGCAAATAATGAAAAAACACATGAACCAAACACGAGACTCAGGCTGCTCCAAATTTCAAATGATTATTACAACAAAACTTTGACATCATAAACCTTTTTTCATTTAGTTTGATATGCGCCTAAAAAGAAGCTGTGAAACTATCTGCAGTTGGGCTTCAATGAAAGTAGAGCTGACAGAAAACAGTTTAATGTTCTGAATAACCTCTTTATTTGATAACAAGTTCAATTTAAATATCTGACAGAGACGGACTTGGACGCATATTTAGTGGCAGAGCTTTCATCGACTGCTCGTGGTTCGTCTCCCCTGTTTGCTAACGTCTCGCTCTCTATGTTCAGACTGGCAACTGTGGCACTATTTGTATTCTCCGTGGCAGATGGTCAAAGTGGGTTCTCCCGTTTGGCCACCTTGCCTGTTGGAAACGACATCAAGTGCCCCCCCCGTTACAATCATGTAAAGCCCATTGTCACGCAGCAACAGGAGCCGTAAAGAGTCAACACACAGCTGCTCGGTGACCACGTTTATACAGCAGGAGGAATCCGTCTGTTCCTACCAGGCATCATAACATGTGATAAAAGATTAAGGTTCGTTTAGCTTTACCAGGTTAGTCAGGTGACCAAGCTTTAACTCGTTAGATTGAATGCAAACTAAACTTTTTTCTAAAGACATCAGTAAGTCACTGCGTATATAAATCCAACTTGTTTCGCATCATTAAAATGTAATATTCCAAAGTGATTAACATAATTTTACTGCTGAGTATAAGCCGTTAACATAAAGGAGATCTCATTTCAGTAGAGGTGGGAAAGGGGAGATACACATGGCGTTTTTGTTTACAATAAAAACATGTTTTGGGGGAGGTGACATGATACAGATATGGTAGAGGTAAGGGCAAAATACACTGCGGCAAAAAAACAGCCACCCATATGTTGGATATGAACATATCCAACATTTTGCCTTAGGCGTAGTTTTTCATTTCTTTAAGGTGAAGCTATTTGTGGGGCGTAAAAACATTTCAGGGCGTTTGAGGCTGGATGTAGGACAGTGTTCTGAAGTAACTTAGTGTGGGGATTCAACATGAAAAAGATAAACAGATAAATATGGGGAAAAAACCAATAGACTGGGGTCTCTACACCCTTTCAAGGGCTCTTTCTGGTCTACTGGAGAAAGGCTGCTGAGTCAAGTGCGACACCTAGTGGTTAAATTCAGTATAGCAGTCTAAACTGGGATTTGGCTTCATGTCGAAACTGGTAACGACATTTTATAAAACCTACCATCCCCAACTAAGACAATTGTGAAATGAAAACGTAAAAGACCTCCTCAACATGCCAGCGCTGAGTGACATTCCCGTCTCCTTTGTCTTTTGAAATCTTAACTCACCGCAAGAAAATGTTGTTGATCTGCTTCCTGATGAAGGCCCGCAGTCCGAGGAACTTTCCATAGATCCGATGCAGGATGGTCTTCAGGAAGTCCCTCTCCCTGGGGTCCTCGCTGTCGAACAGCTCCAGCAGCTGCAGGGACAAACACACACATCCTCAGTGTTCAGCCCTGATTTAAGGGGAAGGGGATGTCTTTGTTAAGTCTCCACCCTGATTAATGTTTAGTCGGCATGTAGGTATACTTTGATACGCATTTAACTGACTGGGAATACAATTTATATAGTTTAGCTTTCTACCATTTTTCATTCCTTGAATACACATTTATTGTTAGTAGAAAAAGGTTGTGACAGATTGGGTAAAGTTTTGTGAAATGTTTAGTTTTCTGACTTCATGACGTTCTTCTCTAATGAATTACTGTGAGGTAAAATCATGATGTAAATGGACTGTACTTACAGTATATAGCGCTTTATCCAGTCTTTAAGACCCCTCAAAGCGCTTTACATACTACATGTCATTCACAGCCATTCATACAGAGCAGTGTACCTTACTCTAGGACCTAACATTCACACCCATTCATACAGAGCAGTGTACCTTACTCTATAGGACCTACACATTCACAGCCATTCATACAGAGCAGTGTACCTTACTCTAGGACCTAACATTCACACACATTCACACACCGTTGGCCATGCCATCGGGAGCAACTCAGGGTTAAGTATCTTGCCCAAGGATACATCGACATGTTGACTGCATGGGCTGGGATCGAACCCACAACCTTCTGGTTGAAAGACGACCACACTCCCTTGCAGCCACAGTCGCCCTGTGTGATGTGATCGATCATCACCTGCTGAGCTCCAACAGCGCCTGACGCACCTCGTCTGGTTTGGCCTTTGCCATGTGATGTGATGTACTGAGCCATTATTCAGCCGTCACCGGGGGCTACCCTGATATTGATATTGAAACACTACTGGGTGATTGTAATTACTTATTGCAAATGAGTTTCCTCCACCTCTAGGCGATCAGAAAGGAGGACCAGCGTACTACGAAGGCTTTCTCTACCGAGCTCAAAACATTCATTGTGCAAGGCAGTCATTTTTTTCAAATAAGTGTGAAGAATCAATCCATATCCTACCTGCTAGAAGCACCTTATATAACGAGTACACAGCATGTGTGTCTGAACGCTCTGCATTGTAAATACATTTGATATCTCTGGCACATAAGAGCTATTTCCAGCAATATGATGATGACTCACGATTACAATACTGTTGAGGGCAGCCAAGCCAACCGCAACCAACTTTAAAGGGAATGTTTTCAGGCTCGAATCGGCCTCACTGTATCATACTGATTTTCTACAGGCATGCCATCAGCACCTTGGTGACAGGCCTGACAGTCTATATATAAACCTGCCATATCCAGGAGAAAGGTTTTCACCATGCACACATGCTCTTCTTCTGCTCTGCACATTAATTCAAACCCTGGGAGATAAATATTGCGACATGTAAATACTCATCAAGTTGTAAGCTTCACCTTACATACATGGAAGAGTGCTAAATGTTAGTTTGATCGAGAGCCAAAGTGATATAAGCGTGTTGCAGATACACATCGGAATCAGCATATATGTTAGCGGATAAATGACAAGAAGTTGAGGTGTTTTTATCTGTAGTTTTTCATTTGCAGAGGTGGAACAAGTACTCAGATTTTGTACTTAAATAAAAGTCCTGCAATCAAAATCTTACTTAAGTAAAAGTAAAAAAGCATCAGCAGTAACAAAAGGTAGTGGAGCAGAAGTCCACAATGTACCTCTGAATTATAATGGGGAAGAAGTACATCAAAATGTTACAGTACTTGAGTAAATCTCCTTTCTGACAGCACTGAGTAGTCGTTTAATTGTTTATTTTTCCAACTGTAAAATATAAGAGAACATTATTAACTTATTCGAACATAAGGGTTGTTTGAATAGATATCATCATCTGTACACGATTCCCTGCATATCTTTCAAAGCAAAGTCTACACCAAATGTTTGTTTGGGTGAAATTGACATCCTTGCTGACCAGACATAACAGATGCCGTTGATCAATAAGTCCGTGATGGGCCCCGACTTAATTGTGTAACGAAAGCTGCCACAGTATAATGCCGTGTGTGCCTGAGGTGACGTCAATATTCAATCACAGTAGTGCACACTGGGATTTGAGTTTTCTCTGGAGCCTGAATCAGAACATGTCCCAAAATAACCCAAAAAACTGATCATTACTCCGCTGCGGGTTTTGTCCATCTGTAGCCAGACACTGGGCACAATCAGAGAGGGGACTTGCCAACATAGAAATATTCAGAAGAGAACAAATCATTATAATTCTCCTCCATGGTTTTAATACGAAGATCCTGAAAAGTCCATCTCAGCTTATTTCATAGTTATGATAGAAAGAGTAGCTACTGTGAGAATAAACGGGTTATTATCAACATTTAAACGAGTAATTCCCAGAGTAAAAGCCTCTCTTTTTACTAAAGATGATTGAGTCAAACAGACTCATGTTACCGCAGCAACAAAAACAGTTATAATAATACTCTGGATTATAACATCTTTTAAGCAAAAAGCAGTTTTCCATTTCCGTAAAAAAATCTCAGGCTGTGTTTGACGCTTGCTGGACAATATCACATTTAAGCCTGTGCTGCATCAAGCTGGTTTCTAACCGGATTTTGTGCCACTAGATTCAACGTAAAAATACTTTATGAGACTAAAATCGATTAAGAAATGGACCGTATTATGATTTCACTTTATCTTTTGATTCAATGTTCTTACAGCAATATCAAATGCTTGCTTCAAATGTGTACCTGACTGCCTTATCTACTCTGTAGTGTGGATACAGCAGGACAGAGTTGGACACCGAGTCCAGAAACAAAAGTGTTTGGCGGCTGAGACAGGAAATTGAATTATGTTGGATTAATGCTCTTAGAAATGTTAATGTCTAACAGAAGCAGTGAGTGCTTACAAAAAGAATACACTGAGGAAATCAATAACAAAGACAACATGTTCTGAATCAGGTTTGGATTTTAAATGATGTTCATGTTTTTGAAAAGGTAAGGGGACTGCTTCAAGAACATTTAAGGGTTTTTGAATGACAGAACTTCTTTTAGTAAATGTAACTATTATATATTATATCACAGCCTTTGTCGAAATATTCAATTCTTCTGGCAGTGTTTTTCCTGTGAGATTATATTAAGTAATTCAACAGTATATTTACTTTCTTTCATTAAAATATATTTTTTTCCACAAAAGAAAAGTAAGTTCTTATTTTTCAGAAAGGAGCTTAAACTGAAAAAAGCCCCCTGTGAGGCATTTCACTTTTTTTTTGCTTGAAAACAACAAAACATCCTAAAATACTCCCTGACCACATGATCAGCTCTGAGCTCCACATATGGTTGTTTTCCCATGTTGAAGGTTGTCTCCTGCAGCAGCTGCGCTCCATGATGCAGCGGTTCAGGAGCTAGTTTTAAAGCTGCGTACCCAAGGACCAGAATATGCCGTTAACTGAGAACGGTAGAAAAAGCAGTTATTCGGTTTCTAAGACGATGGGACACTGACACAATCATACATAACGTTATTTTCCACTTCAGGATGTTCTGGGACAAGTGGCATGATTACACTAAACAGCTTCACAAAGCTCTGGCTGAATCAGAGTTGACATCAAAACATTTTTTTCAAACCGAGCTGTGTGTTTGTATTACTCCACACCCATTTCTACAGGGAGGAGGGCTACAAGACGATCACCTGAAGAAGTACATTCAGAAATGTGCTCAAGGGGTTTGTCTAAGGTTAGGATGTATTTGAGGTGTGAAGTGCATTAGGAAACAGGCTTTACAGTTTGTATGGTACACCCAGATACACGTGACTGCTGACCCGTTACCTCATCTCACTGCACATTAAAACGTTCTTCTTAAACAAAACGCTGAACCTTCTGGCTCTAACATGAATTTATTTTACGACTGCCAAATATTGGGAACCAAATATGCGGTACATTTTGGAATAGGGAACAAATACAGAAATGCTTACCATTCATTTTGTTGAAAAAAATAACGCGTTTTATAGGTTTTTGGCTTTCTTTTTTTTAATCCGGGTTGCTGTAGAAAAAACTCGGCTTGTGTACACGGGGGTAATGTGGCGGGTCTAAAGCTGAAACATTCAACCTAAATGGCACAATCATAGTTTAAAAAGTACATAAAGTTTATTTCCTTTTGTATCAAGCAGCAAAAAGATTGTTGGAGTACATTAGAGGATATCACACCTCGTGCAAAGGGACTATCGCACATGCATACATCACCTCGTCAAAGTGCCAATATGTTTGTGAACGTCTCAGAGGGATACTCGAAGAGCTGCTCCTACACTCTGTGTTCTGAAAAGTGAGGCTGTCTACCCTGCGCCACCCAAACCTCCATCTCCTTTCACTTTGCTGCGACCACAGTCCTCCTTTTCTCAACCTGAAGAGTAAACATAAGGCGGCTATTTAAAGCTCCCCCACGACACACTCACATCATGGAAAGTCGGCCCAGGCACCTCGGATGTGGCCCCGGCCAACATTCCTGGCCCCGTTAGCTCTGCGGCTTCACATGAGAAGGGAAGCATTCCTGATGTAAGTGGGTACTGAGCGGGGAGGATGTAGCTGAGCTAGTTTATTAATGTCTGACTCATCAAACAATCATACTGCAGGGTCCCAAAACACATTGCAACACGCTGCTGAATGCTGTAACTCACCACATTAGGAATTCTAGGCGTTTGAACAGCCTGTGTGAAGCGCTGCAGTGATTCATCGATCAGTAATTTCCCCAAAACAAAATGCGAAAAACTCAAAGGTCGCTTATGTAAAATATGTTTGGGGTATTCCTATCCTTCTTTTATAGTAAATTCAATATCTGGATGGATTTTGTCGAGAAAAAAAAGACCTTTGAAAACTAATATACAGACAATTGCAATTACTTATATAATCTGTAGATTTAGAGATATGGAAATAATCAATAGATCTAGCCGTAAAGCTGTCACATCACCGTCAGATCAACAGGTAGCTAGTACTCTCCTCTAAAGTTATTATGAAATGATATCTTGTTTTTTTAGGTCTTACGGCTGCAATTGAGCTTTAGCTTCCTACTAACAAACCCAACAAAACTGATAACAAACTGATGCATGTGCAATTACAAAAACCATTGCTACCACGAATACTTTGTCTCTTTGTAATAAAGCAGGTTCACTTTGAACTAGGGATGCCAGTGATTATTCGATACAGTCTCCATAATCGAATATTATTTTGAAAAATCGATTTAATTTATATATTATTATTTATGTTTTTTTTTTTTTTTTCTGGCTTAGTTTCAACCAAAATATAGACTAATGCTAATAATAATAATAGTATTAATAATTGTAAATGGCCATTGGTCACACCACCAGTTTGTTTTACTGTAAACTTGGAGGAAGCCTGCGTGCAGAGCAGACTGCTGCTGTAGCACGCTACACACCGACTAAATGGTCTTTGTTTGTAGATATCTACTAAACTACAGCATACAAATACAGAGAGTAATGTAGTCCTGTTATATTGAGTGATATATATTTTACACACTGCTCTGCTTTCTGCACGGACCTCACAGCTGTTCTCTCTGTAAACATCGCGTCGCGATGAAAGCAGTTACTAAAATAATATGCAGGGGATGCATGCAGAGCCTCCTCGATGCTTGGTCCTCGAAGTACATTTAGAGAATCTCTAAATGTACTTCGAGGACCAAGCATCGAGGAGGCTCTGCATGCATCCCCTGCATATTATTTTAGTAACTGCTTTCATCGCGACGCGATGTTTACANCCACTGTCAGACGCTCCTCCAACTGGCACACATTGGTCAGCATCTGCGTCAACTTGCTGTCCCAGTGCAGGGTGCACA